TAAAGGAAAAAATGCAGGAAGGAAGTCCAAGAAGAAGTTAGCACGGGAACCTGCTAAAACGTATACACTAGGCCACTAAAACATTTGGGCATCTTTCTTGTGACCTCAAAAAAACTGGCCGCTGGAGCAGTAGGGAATGAAGAGGATGCAGACAATGGCCTCTGCAGGAAAACTTCCAGGGACGAGCTTTCCGAAGATAGGGCTACAATAGGTGTCTTGGCTGGAGGTTTCTCGGAACGATTTCACTTTAGTGGGACGACCTCCTCATCAACCTCGACCTTGATAGAGGCAGCTTACGACCTTAATTAGAGCTGTTGCCCTTTTCTTTCCTTTGTTAGTAGCAGTTGCCTTGTAGCCTAGCATGTTTAGATCATGATCTGCGAAGATTGGTAGAGAAGTGTTCCTAGTGTTAATGTCAAAATGGTAGTTATAAATGGACCAGGAAGAATTAATCCTCACTAAAAGTGGTTAGAGAGGAGGAAGCTCGTGGAGGTTGGAGTCGGAAATAATAGACTTGCAGGATCTTTCTCTTTTAGCCAAAACTCTAATCGCCCTAGCCTTTCTTTGAGTTGTTAGAGTCAAAGTCACCTTCTTATAAATTGTAATAGCAATAGTTGAAGGGTTAGAGGAAAGTTATTTGCAAGTTTGATAAACATAAGAATGACCTCCACTTACATAGTGCATGATAAAAAGTAAGGACTACATTGTCCCTATTCATCTCAGCATGGTGAAATTGCCAGTCCCCCAGTACATAGAAAAACTATTCTTTCCATTTTTTAATCGGTGATGGAGTGTCGAGCACTAAAGAACCTCCTATCCTAGGTCTAACACTGGCGTATCACTAGCCCAAGCTCCTTCTATCCTCCTTAAAATTGAACAGGGAATTGAATTACTCAATAGTAAGCTCGAGATTTCCTAATTTATGCCACAAGATAAGAGTGGCAACTGACGCTCGCCACCCATTAGGACTTAAGTGGGTAGGAGCTATTCTCTAGAGAGAGTGAGAGAGGAATTTATGAATGCCCTTGGGAAATGGGAGCCTAAGGTTGGTATTTAAAATTGCGTACTAGCTCTGTCCCTAGGGTCAAGCACTACTATCTCTACTAAACTATGAATACTATACTTAGCCCTCCAGGTCACTAGCATATCTCCCGTTACAACTGACCTATACAAGTCAACTCTCCATTTTCCATGGCTATTTCCTCTACCGTCAGCTTGGGACACTATTTCTTCACTCTCATTATCCCTCGGGTTTGGATCCATACCTCCCAAATGACCTAAATCCCCTAGGTTAACTATAGAAATTGGAATTGGGGCGAGGATGCTTTAACAACGCAAACTTAACGAAGAGGTGGGAGTAGAAGGCACTGACTCTTCTTGGTGGTCACCCTAAGAATGGACCCTAGACTCGTCCAAACTCATGCAACTAGTGAGAAAAAGAAAGACATTTTTCGTTAAAGAGAATACTTGGGAAATGATGACCTCACTCAAGACATAGGAGAAGAACTAGAGAAGAGAGAGTCTTCCTTGCTTAGAAGAGGAGAAAGCGTGAAAGTAAGATGGTAAAAGGGAAAGGGAAACGATGTTTAAATTAAAAGGGAAAACTAAGGGACTAGATCCAAACCGTTGGATGAGAAAATGGAGGGAAAATGAAGGGCCCAGATTCATCAAAGTAAAACAATGTAGTTTTGACACCAAAAGCTTCCAAAGGAAGCAATTAAAAGTGTGGAATAGCTCCACAGACGAAGACACGACACCTGGCATACCCTTTAGTCATTGTAACGATGATAAATCGTGACGATTGAGTCAACTAAGCTCATAGGTCAATCTATCCCTCGAACAATTATTGACCTGGGGGTATCTGTTGACCAACGATCTCTGATCTCACTTAAAATATATTTAGGGCCTATCTCGTCTACCTGAAAGGCTAGGTTTGTGAGATCGGCTTGGTCTCATGACCGTCGTGATCTCAATAGGTATAATGATTACAGATTCCTTACACCTTGTCAAATCACTCAATTAGTCAGACACACTTGGAATGAGTGATGTCAGCACCACCCAAACCCACCAATTATCTACTATAATTATTTATGCTAAAGCAGGTCATGATTTCTTGATAAAAGGGGCTATTATTATGATTTGATGGGAGCTGACCTTGTTAACCAATCAAGGGAAAGATCGACGGCACACAAATCAAGTTCGGCACTGTGGTTGATTAGATTGATAAGACAAAATCCTATGAAAATATAACTTAATCTCATCTATAAAAAGAAAGAGATGGTCCCCTCTAGGGGACAGGTCTTGGAGGACGATTTTCTCCCACCACTACAAGAAAATGTACTTGTAAGCTTCATTATAAATAAAAAATGCACACTTTCTTTTTGAAGTTGGCTCAAAACCACACTCAACAATTTTTGACGTCAACAACAAACATTATTTCTTGTTTGTTTCAATCTATCCCTCGTCTACATGTTCAGGTGATAAATATAACATAATTTAATGTTAGAGTATATAAACGAGATGGAAAAAATGAAGTACAGTCGACTTTAGTTAATAAAAATAAGATCTAACATGTCATTATTATACAAAAGAGATTTTCTCAAGTATCTCCAATAGTATATTGACAGAGCCTCAAATTTCACTTCATAATAAGAAAAGGCATTAATGAAAAGATTATAACAAAATACAAATTTTAAGAGAATCGTCCTGACTTTATTTTTCCCCAAAACAAAGAAATAGGTATAAAATACATGAACAGCCAACACACATTTGTTGCCCATCAACTCTCATAATCTGCCTTCTTCTAAGCACTCAACATTTGGAAATAAATAGACAATTTTCGAATTGCAGTTTACACCCCCAAACTGCTAGGGTCCGTTTGGCAAATTTTCCAGTCCCACTTGGACTGAAATCGCCCCTAAGACAAACACAAAGCATAACTTCTTGTAATCTTCATCACATGCTACCCTTGTGCCTGCATGAATCACCAAATTCGTGGATTGGAATCAGCTGGATTTGCAAGGTTTCAATTTTACCAAACAAATGCTCGCATCAACCTATCGACCATCTAAACTTGTGTCCCCAAATTCCTTCTTGCCGGTGTTGCCATCAAGTAAATCCATCATCGTCGTACCTTCGTTATTGTTGCATCACAAAATTAACACATTGCCTTGCTTCATCCCACTCGAATCTGCACATTGCTCGGGCACCATACATGCCTTCGACCATAGCATGATAATGCAAAAGACATCCTCATGCCATTACCATTTTCTCAATTAGGGTCCTAACACTAGGACACTATATGCTGACACGTATAAAGAAATTAATTATATTGGTATTTGATTAAAGTGTAGATTCACATGATGTTATTGCCCTAGAATTTAATTAAGTTGAACAAATCACTCAAATTAAGTAATTATTAATCATAATTATTCATAAGAATGGGATTTAGCTGGCAATACTCTAAAATATATTAAAGTTATAATATGGATAGAAACTTGAACTCTTATACATGCATATGGTTTCAGACCCTTAAGTGTCTGTTTGGAAGTATTTTGTTTGATCAGAAGATATTTTAGAGAAAATTAATCTAAAGTAAATTCCTTAATAAATTTTTCTATGAAAAGTGTTAGCCATCCTAAACAAGACCTAAAACTATTGAAATTTTGACAAAAAAGACTCGAACTCTTTTCAAGATTGAGATACACTGATTAACAATGAATGAATTTTACACAATTTCCAACTATTAAGAAAGTAATACTAGGAGTGCATTAATCACCAATTAACCTAAATTAACAAAGTAAAAACTCTTTAATTATTAACAAAGTAAAAACTCTTTAATTAATGATATTTTGTACCACTGGTGTCAAATATCAGTTTAGATGGTAATTATATGTCATTAAATGATATGTTTAATGAAATACAATGTTATATGATTCATTTAATTGAATTGAACTTATTATGTCTCTGTTTGTTTCTCATCCCTTTTCCATTAAAATGAAAAATATGTCCGTTATCTATCACATCAAACAATCAAATTTGAATTTCTATATCTTACGTGAGGCCCATAACGACTATATTTTTCATGTTCGTTATTACAAAAAATGGGAAACAAACTTCCTCTAAATATGATCACATAAAGTAGTGTTCTAACACTAATAGTGCTACGTATCATAATTCAAACTCTTTATCCATTTCCACATCCCTAATCCTCTCCAACCTTCTGGATAAAGTTTTTAATTTTGAAAAAAAAAAAAATTATTCATTTAATCCAAATTTTTATATTTTCTTCAAATTTTTTATTTATCAGAAAATATTTGTCCCAATCGTAAAATTCGTTTCTTTATTTTTCCTGTAAATTCTTGAAGTGAAATTTCTGGAAATAACCAATATCATAAAATAATTATTTTTTTCTTCTGAAAATAAGAAAAATATTAAAATTAAATAAATTGTTGAATTTATCCAACTATATCCTGACAGCTGTTAGCAAATTTCGGGGCCCAACATCTCAGTCAAACTAACTAGCATTGGACCACCTTGCACACGATTGATTACGATGCGGTTAATATTTGAATTCCTTAAGTCGATTTTTAATTTCTTTAGAAAGTGAGTTTTCTCATTTGTTTATTTATTTTATTTTTAAATACGATTTAAACATAAAAATAAAAAAAATAAAAAAAGAAAAAAAAGAATGACAACGCAGAGTGCGACGTTGGATTGAAGATTTTGGAGTTTCTCATAAAAAGATAAATGTTTTAAAATTGGGAAATACTATGTATACCCCATAAATATTTTATTGTATGTGAACCTCTTCCATGTGAAGGAGTATAATGTTATGTGTACACGATAATATTTTCCTTTAAAATTTACCCATGGGCCCATTTGGGCATGGGAATCTAACTTGCCTAAGCATTGGAGAGGAGTCCTTTTCCAATTTCAACCACTCACTTAGCCACCCCCTCAAGGCGGAGCTCCTCCCCCAAAGCCTCTATAAAAAGTCCCCAATGGTACCTTACATAGGCTTGAAGAAGAGCCCACTCCTAATCTCCTTCCTTCCTTCCTTCCTTCCTTCTTTCTTCTTCTTCTTCTTTACTAGAATCTCTTTTGGTATCTATTACTGGGCCCAAAAGCAAAAGATTTTTAAGCATGGACCTCGCCGTCAAACCCACCACCATCAAGTTTCTTTGCAGCTACGGCGGTCGGATTCTCCCCCGTTACCCTGATGGCAAACTCCGTTACCATGGTGGAGAAACCCGTGTTCTTTCCGTACAACGATCCATTTCTTTTGCCGGTTAGTCCCTCCTCGTTTTTATAATTCTTCTGTATTTATATTGTCCAGTCGCGTTTAGTACTGTGAGTCGAGAGTGACACTTTCCGTGTTACAGAGCTGTTGATGAAGCTGGGAGAGATGAGTGGGACGTCAGTTGTGAATCTAAGATGTCAATTACCAAAAGAAGATTTAGATGCTCTTGTATCAATCACTTCGGATGAGGATCTTGCCAATCTTATCGAAGAATA